TTTAGAAAATACCTCCCTGGCCAACAGTATCTAAAATCTTTTTTAGTTTAAATATATTTATTCTGCCCAGAAGGAAATGAATTTGTTTGAGGTGGCTGCATAAAAATTAACAAATAATAAAGTAAATTTATGCGGATTTATTCACAGAAAAGCTTCAGTTATACTCAGCTATCTACTTGACATTTTTGCTTTGACTATTTCTGATCATGTTAAATTGAGTGGGAAAACTGAGCACGTTTTAAAGTGCTCCAGTTGAAAGAATATATTGAGAATTAAAAAAATGCTTGCAATTGTTAACAGTAAACAAATTTAAAAAAGATTTTATGTTGAAAAATATACACAAAAGTAGCATTTTCAGGTCTGTATTCAATTTAATGTGAAATGTACTCTTGTGTTGGCTTCCTTGTACAAAGATTATGTAGTTTGTTGTCAGCTGTTTGTTGACTTATTAGTATGTATTAGATGGATTTTTATTTATTTTTTGTCTAAGGTTATAAAACTTAAATTTTAAATAAGTTAATTAGAAGAAAATCCTAATTAGAAACACAGCTAATTCTGTGTTTCAAAGGGAGGTTTGCAAAATTCAAAATAAAAGTATCATGAAAAGATGAGTCTCAAAGTTGGGGAAAATGTATTTAATTAATGTTATACTTGAAAGATCTGAAAATGGTAAACATTCTTCTTAATAAAAAGTTCCTAGTGTGTTAAAATATTATTCTTTAAGGTCACATATAGATTTAAATAAATCAAATTGCTTCTCACAGGGAGGGGTTATATACAGTGTAAAGAGTAAGGACGCCTGAGGATGTTATTAATGGATGCTGAGGTAAATATTTTATTTGGATTTATACTGTTTTTATAGCAACATTTTCTTGGGAAGGGAAGGTCTTTTTCTATACTCCAAACCTTCATTGCTGTAATCTGGGTAATTCTAAAATTACATGATAACTATAATTCTCTGTAGATGATGTTAAATCCTATTTAGCCTAATAGGGGATATCTAAGTAATCACATAGGATTTTGTTGGAAATATTTTGCTTTTTGAAATGTACGGCTCTTTCTAATGTGAGACAACTTGTAGAAATAGCATAATTGATTTCTGCATACTATAAAAGTTATTTTGAGTTTATGGTTTAAGAAAATATCATCTGTTTCAGGGGTCCTTGGAGGTAACACAGAGTATGGATGATGATCCTCTACTTGATGCACCACTTCTTCCACGCCATACATTACATTCCAGGCTTCATCCAGAGTTCCATGCTATACCTACAGTCTTTGTTGCCAATGTTTTATTGCTTTTGCATGTAAGTTGAAATAAAAATAATAAATGTGGAGTTATGCAAAAGATCAACTTAGCTTGCCTGAAGACCAGTGGTAAAGCGTGCCTATTTCACTTAGCTAACCAACAAATTAGGAATACCAACTTTTTTCTCTACCACCTAAATTGCTTTTTCCCCAGCAGAAAGACATTTATCTTGATGTTTTCTTCTTGGTCTTTTAAAAGTGGCACAGACATCTAGTATCCTTTAAGAAAGTCTTGCCCCATCATTATTACAATGGTACCTCAGTATTCGACTGCTTCAGAACTTGTTGAATTTGGTACTCAGTGCATTTTGATGCGAAAATGTTGTCCTGGTACCCATTGTTTCGTTGGTATTCAGCACAGCAAAAGGAAGAGGGGGACTACCGCAGAGGGTGGACAGGAAGTTGGCCATGCTAGGAAAAAGGACAAAGTTCTTTCCAGCTAAAACAAAGTGGGAAATCACCTTGTTTGTTTGACAGATTTTGTAGTAGTCAGTGTGCCTGTCAGAACAAATTTATGTTGAGTACTGAGATACACTGTATTTACTGTTACAGTTTTGTCAACTTTCAGTGTGGGAATCATATCTCAACTGAGAAAATGAAACACAAAATGGAGTGTGCAAAAGATTCCTATTTCTATTGCCATAAACTAATAAATCTAGCTTTTGTTATTCTTCCAGTAATGGAATCTGAATTGCCAGGTCTCCTTACTGACTAGTAACTATTAACAAAATGAAATAGAGCAATCAAAACAGTTTCGGGATATGCCAAGCAGTATTGTGGATGTAATAAAAGAGAGGTATACTTCAGTGTATGTCTATGTATGGAGGGTCAGGGAAGGAAGAAAACATAACTCTGAAAGGTTGATGACAGAAGCAGTGACATGTATTAAAACCAGAATAAGTAACTCCCTGCTTTACAAGTGAATGAACATGGCCACTACCTTCATCATGTTCGGGACAGATTACAACAAGTGAAGAACATTATAAAGCAGAAACTGTATTTCCCCTTTTCTGAATGAGTTCCTATTTCCCTGAAGTGAAAGTTTCAATATTTCTAATATTTTGGCAAGACAGTTTTTGAATTCAAGTCATAAGTTGCAAGTCACCTAAATAGACTTTTTTGTTTTAAAATGGATGCATATTTGCAAGTTAAATTTGTCAGTTGGATGTTAAGTATCACAAATGTCAATCTTCCCAAAGCTTTTTGATAACTATACCAGAATCTTGATGTTTTATTGCTAGTTTATGTTTTAATCCCTGTCTGTACACATGTACTGGCAGTAGTGTTGTGGTATATTCCTTGAATACTGGAACGTTGACTGTAATAAACAGTGTTGACTCTCAAAATTTATCATTAACTTACTGCTTCATGTTAGAATCTTTATATAGGAACTTTGGCCATACCCTTTGCCAGAAACAGGCTGATGAAAACTGGCCCCATGTGTACATCCAGACTTCCTGAACTGAGAAAAAATAACTCTGGTGTCTTGGAAAGTTTAATGAAATAGCATACCTTATCATAAGTTGGGGAATTCCCATAATGCCCTTGTGCTATTTAAAGAGTGCATTGAACAACCCCAATCACTCCTTGAAGCAAGCCAAAGCTGAATCTTACGGACTTTTTTTAATGACCCTTCAAGTTGTTATAAAGTGCCCTAAATCTGTGCACAACTATATCTTGGGGCGCCTATTTACATTATAACATTTTAGCATGCTTAGAATTGGGTTATACTGATATTGTTCCCGAACCGGGAAATGCAGGCATTCCCAGTTGAAACAGTACAATAATACAGCTCACAACAAAAACAAAATAAAGATGCTTAATAGGAATAAATAGCTTGTATGAAACCTGACTGATACTTTATTAGTGCATATAATTGTTTAATATCTTTCTTTCTTTAGGTTACTTTCGTTGTGTTGGCATTTGTGACGGGGGTGATTTGTTCTTATAATGATTCAGGTGAGGACACATGCCCTGAAAACTACACTTATCCTTTTAAAGTGCAGACTACTATAACGATTGCCAAGGTAATTCTCTGGATGCTTCATCTGTTTCTGGAACGATACATTCACTTTCATCACAGCAAAGCTAGAAGCAAAGGTTACCTCCGCATCTACCGAACCACAAGACATCTTAAAAGGGTTCCCCTATTAATTCAGTCAACAGGTAAGCCATAACATNGGGCCAGGAGTTTGACAGCCCTCTTTTAGAGCAGGGGTGGGGAACTATGTGGACTTCAACTCCCAGAATTCCTGAGCCAGCATGACTCTGGGAAGAACAATCTTTTTGAAATAAGTTAAAACAGCAAAAGAAAATGTAATTAGGATGATGGTATGATTTTATTTTATATTTTTGCTTTTCAGAGAAATCTCAAGTTTGGAAGAAGTAGTTGAAAAACAAGGTGATGTGATTGAATACCTTCAACGGCACAATGCCCTGCTTAGCAAGAGACTATTGGCATTAATGCCCGAGCAGAACAGAAGCTAGTGGTATTCAAGACTGCAATGTAGAAGAAAAACTTTTCCAGCACTGATTTATTCTCTAAAATGCAAGTTGTACTGAAAAAGCCCACTCCACGTTTTGAATAGCAGTTGGTTCACTTCTGGATTACTGGAAAAGCTTTTTTTTTTAAAGGATATATATTTTTAAATGGTTGTCTCTACTAAAAGTTTTTGCAGTGCAGGAAGTGGACCTTAGATAGGGAAAATTTCTCTTTCTATGTCAGTCGCAGATTGTTCTTCCAAAGTGCCAAAGATTTCTATGGTAGTTCAGGATTTAGTTCTTTTCAAAAATACAACAAGGAAAACATCTTCATTTAAGGGTCATTTCTCCTTACATCTGGGTTATCAATTAAACTATTGGATACATTTATAAAAGAATATATTAGTATTAGGCTATTAGTATCTCTGGTTCCTCAGAGATAAAGTTACTATAGTAATAGTGAAGAATCATCTGGAAAACTGTTTAATACCTTTAAAAAAAACTGCAGTCACTGAGATTCCATTTCTGCAGGCATAGTGATAAAAGAATAGAATCCTACATGCAAAGGAATATCCGAAAGAGGAAAATTGGGGTATGCTACATAAACTGGAAAGACCATGTGGATATAATATGGGAAATATAAATTGAACCTTTTAAAATCATGGATATCAAAATAAAGCTAATATTGCCTTTCTACCTTGCTTATGTGTACAATCTGAACAAGAATGGAAAAGTATGTGAAAATATTTTTTAAATGTGTGGGTGTATTAACAGCTGTAAGTAAGTCTTTATCTATCTCTATCCTAGAGGTTTATGGTATGGTATTGTTTATAATGTGAAGAAACATTAGTTTCTGGCTTTTATGTCCTTCTTAAGATCTACTTCTTTATTTTGAAAAGCTACTTCTTTAATCACTGCATATGGGATTAAAGTCCACCTCCTCTGCCCTTTAAACCTGTCATAATTGTTGAAAATACTCAGGCCTACCATACTTACTGATGTCTCCCCCCTGAAAGCTGTTGCACAAAATATGTAGATAAAAGTGTGTGGATCCTATTGAATTGAGTGAAAATTAGTTGCTGGGATCTGCTTGACTAAAGTTTTTAATTTCCTTTTTCTCTGTTAATAGTTAATTGCCTGCTCTGTCTTTTTGCTGCCAATGAAGAGTAATTTTTGTGTGTTCTGTAGTCAGAAAGGCATACTTTTCCACAAATTGGATAATTCTGTGATTTTGTCTGGGGAAGAACAAATGTGTACCAACAATCCTGCTATAAATTATACAAACTAATTGTCCATCCACTGCTTACTGAAATATATGTATGCATGTATAGTGCACGAAATAACTTAATATTGCAACTGATTGCTTCTAACACTAATTCATTCATGCCTTTTAGGCTGTGGATTAAGCACAGGTAAGATTTTATATATAAGACGAGCTTTCCTTTTAAAGGTTACTTAGATTTCATCATAGTTTGTATGTAATTTGTTCTACCTTTTGTATTAAATGTGATAAATGAATAAATGCANTCTAAATTAAGCATCTGGCATTTCAGTATTTGTAACATTTTGTAATACCCAAATTGCAGTTTGAACCAATCAACAATCTACAGATTGATGCCTATCTGTAGTCATGTTAGATGTGCACCACTGGAATGGGGCCACTAGATAGAGCTCTAGTGATAGAAAAATTGACAAGATGGCCGATAACTATTTAAACAGATGATGCATTCTCTTGAAGATCTAGTGTTTGTGTATATGCTCCTATGGGAAAAATATATATATTGTTCTTTTACGTAATGCTAATGATCATTTCACTTATAAATCCTTCTATGCTGTCTTATCCTTATGGAGTGGGTGTTCTTGAGAAGGATGGTAAGGTACAGCCAGAGTGGGCTTTTTTCTCGCTACAGTCATCCCAAAATATAAAGGTCAGCCCAGCAGCCCAGCTCAAACAAGCAGACACCTGTATAACAAGCAGACGCTGTACAATTCTGTATATATAAGGCAGAACTGATACAGGAAGGTCCTGGAGGGGGATAACAACAATATTTCACATTACACAAAATAATTCAGGTAATGTGCTCTTACATTTGGATACGGGGAGCAAATGATTGTAGTGATTGTTAAAATCATCACATCCCTAAAAGACCAAGATTATAAAAAAACATCCTAGAAAGAATTGAGCTATGGTTGCTGAAAGATGCCATTGATTAGACAGTATTCAGTTAATCTGTATATTAATTTGACCCAGAATAGCCTTATATATGTTCATAATATTAGTCCTGAAAGCTGGAGTGGGACTAGTGTAAATCCAATCAAAATAAATAGTATATATCATTCCAGTAAGTCTAGCCCACTACTTTAAAGATTAATCTAGGACCTTTACACGGTTAATCAGTGGTGACTGAATTGTTCTGGAAGGCATAATGAAGGGGAGAATTGAATTCAAGCCCTAGCCCTGCAGACAGTTAATTCGTGTTCTGTTTGTTTCTATTTTGGGTCATTAGAGTGAGCTGTGTATGGATTTACTTTAATGGCCTATTGATCAAGGTTATCTGTTGCATACAATCTGGTTTAAAGTTATTGCATCATTATTATTTAAATAGAAGGGTTAATTTGGAGCTATATTTGGAAAATTCTAGACTACCCTTCACTGTTTTAGTGGTCATCACAAGATCTTGACTTTCAACCAATGTGGCTTTGTGGGAGAAACTGACCAGATTTCTGTTTCTAATGTGTCCTGTTTGTTTTTAATAGGAAATGTGGCTTTATTGCTGATAGTGTCACTGCAACATTCGTTTCCTAATCACAATAAAATGTATCTCTGCTTCATGCTGGGAATCTTGGCGATGGAATTGATATGTTCATTGATATGTCTGGTTGTCTACACAGGTGAGAATTGTTTCTTTGCCTTGTTAGGGTGATTAAGCCACCCACTCTCGTTCTGTTTTTAAAGTATTATTTTAACATGAATTTGATTTAAGAGGGCTGCAAAAAATTTACAAGCTGTCATCCTAATATTTATATTATCAGAAATCATGCCACTGGTCCTTTCAGTGTTATTCTATATGATGCTGAGAAAAAGTATGTAATTTAATACATTTGGGGAAAAAATGGTTAACTTTAGACGAGGACAAAGATGCGGATGTTACTGAACTTAACTTTTGTGGTGGTGGAACTGCAAGCTGCAATTGTTTGCATGACACTTACATCTTTCAACTTTTACGCTGGTGTATCCCAAGGGCTTGGGGCAGTGTGCAGCACAAAAATAGAGCATACAAAATGCAGCTGTTGATAAAGAAATTCTTCCCTTGGCAGTGAGAGCCATCTTTTGTGGCAAAGCAGCTGCTTTGAGAAGCTTTTTGCCTGGCACTGATAAGCAGCTACATCTCTTCATGAATAGTTCAAGGCTCTTTATTTCTTACTGGGTACATGGAAGCTGAGGAAGGAAAGAGCAAAATACATATTGCAAGATATATTTGCACAATTCAGAGATTGTTAGAAAGACTCAAGCACAAGATGTAGTCCTATAAGAATAATAAAATTCTCTGGTCTCTTTCTTAGGATGAAAAAAGCTAAAACTGTCAAGAGAATGTAGCATTTGACAGTAAAGTAAGATAATTCTATAAGTTATTGCAGCAAAGAAGACAAAAATGACACCATGCTATTATTTTCAAGCCATGCTAGTGAATCTATTTTAAAAAGTTAAGGTGTATGTGAATTATCTGTAAACTGCTGTTTCACAGGAGTTGGCTTTCGAGTATTGTGGATTTTTATTGGACTTGCTGCTTTTTCTGTTTCTTTGACCCATACAGAGTCTCCCACTATTTACAACGAAAGAAATAAAATTTAGAACCTAGAACAAAAAAGTATGTGACGGGTAATGTCTCATTTAATACACAATAGCAACATAAAGTCAGATTTTAGCTAGCTTCTGAGGCATCTTGGTAAGTGTAATGGAAGCAAAATAGCACTTTGAAGTAGCGAAATATATAGAGCGGGGCTTAGAAGCTTGTGAATCCTTTTGAATTTTCAATATTTCTGCATAAATATGATTTAAAACACGATCTTATCTCCACACAACTCCTAAAAGTATATATGAATCAAAAACATACTTGTTAATTTGTTTATTGAAGAAAATGATTCTCAACATTTAGGTCATATTTATGTAGAATTATTGAAAATTCAAAAGGGCTCACAAGAACCATGCTGGGTATCTTTCCCCCTTAATGCTTTACTACTGTATATAATAAGTCTGTGCAGAAACCCAAATTCAAAAAGCAAAATGGGGACCCCCTTTTGCCCTTTGAATCCAGGCCTCCACATAACCATAGAACAGTGTTTCTCAACCTTGGCAACTTGAAGATGTCCGNCCATAAACATTTAATGCTGGAAATAATATGAATGAAATGTACATGAAAAGAAACATCAGAGTCAACCCTTCTTTTCACCGCGTTGGGTAATTAAAGGCAAAAGCAGTCTGGCTGGATAATACTATCAACAACCTAATCCTGAGATAACTGTTTCCCACAGTGACTGTCCTTTTATGTTGACTGGTTAAAGTGTCTCTGATGCATAACAATGTGTTTGGAGACAGAACTGGGCTACAAATTGTTCTGCTGTCCCAGTGGGTAAATATTATACAATGGGAAATCCTTAATCGGTATGCAAATGGGAGCAAATATCAATTGCTTTTTCCAATAGGTAAAGTTTTCCTTCCCACATCTGGCTGTTTGGACTGCGGTTGGCACTAAACTACAATGTACACAGTCCCTTTGACCCTAGTTTTTTTCCCCAAGCACTTGTACATTAGTTGATTTACAGAGGTCACTGAACTAGATTGGAATCAGGCTGGATGTGCTATACTTAAAAAAAAAGTGGGGGTGTCTTGAACATTAAATATGTTTAAAGTCTTTGCTGAACCTGAAGATGTTTTTTCAATGAGTCCACTCCATCTTTTGCTCAGGGGAATTCAGGTTTTCCTTTCTCTGTGTCCCCCAAGCCCCCTCCTCCTTCCCTGCAATATATTTACTGCCTCAGTCTGGGAGCAGACATTAAGCCATGTACACAGTTCAAATATAGAATGCAGTGATTCTATGCCATTCATAATGATTAATTGTATTTAATAGAAAGGGTCCAAAAATTACTCATGCTTTAACACAGAATCAATTGGAAAAGCCAGATTTTTACAAGACTTCCGAAAAGTCCATGAGAAGAATGGGAAGCATCCTCAATTGGGGAGGGGGGCTATTCCAAAAGAGGGGAGCCTCTATAGAGATCACTCACTCTTAAGCCCATTCCCATGGCATCACAAAATAGAGGGACTGTCAGCAACTCTCCTTAGTTTCTCAATTTCTCAGCAGAATCTATCTGGGCAAAGGAGAATCTAAGAACTCAATGCCAAATATCGGACAAAGTAATACAAGATAATAAAGACTACATATAAATATTTCTTACCTGGAACAATGGTTTAGTAGGAAGAAGCAAATCATTAGTGGCAACTATCTTAGTTGCAATAAAAGTTTGGAAGCAACATGGCCAAGACATTTCACATATCACTTTAAGTATTTGATACCTATTTTTCCCCAAAGGACTTCAAACTATTTTGTTTCCTCACTCCCATTCCTATTTACTTTGGAAGGAACTTATATATTTTAAATGCCTTTGATTGATGTTTAGTTATTTGCACACTTGAAAATGTATCCCTTTGACTTATTTGAAGCTTTAATAATTATTAAATTGTTGTAATAGGAAGACAACATAAAACACTGATATTTAAAAATATTGATCTTTAATTTCAGTATTTCTCTCCAAAGAAAGATGTATAATTCTTATTCTGCTAGAATTGGAAATCTACAATTTCTTTAATGTGCCATTATCTGATTAAATTCTAATAATAGTTTTGGCTTAACGTTTAAAAAAAAAAGAATGGTTTAATGTATATTTTACTTAGGTACATTTATCATTACTGTTTATATTGATACCTTATGCAAATTTAAAAGAAATGAAGCAAAGATTTCACATCTCTGTGAAAGTGGATGATTTCAATATACAGCATACAAAAATGTGAAAAGATACATGAATATTTAATGTGACAGTACTATTTGAAATACATTTTGTACAACATATACAGTTACAAACATGCTTTAAGAAATTATTGAATCACAATATATAATCTAAATTGATTGTAGTGTTAAATTGCTACAAATGTATCAAGGACTACTTTATGGCAAGATATACATTACAATATTGATAAGTACTTGATCATACAAAGCCTTATCACGCAGTGCATTTCCACTGATATAAGTGATTTTTTTTTTAAGGTTCAAACATGCTTGTAAGCCTTTTCTGTTAATTTTAGTTAATATTTGAGAATTTCCTCTTTCAAAAATAGCCAGATTATCTAACCTGGCCTTTGTTGACATGCTGCGGTTGAAAATTCTGGAATAGTAGGCCAAGACACTAAGGAGTGATGTTCTGAGAAAATTTTGGATGCAAAAGGAGTAAAAGAAAGTAACATGGTCTTCAAGCAACAGTGAAACTAAATGTGGCTTTAAGGAGGCCTACTGTTTTATCAAATACTAATTTCATTCTTGCATATTTTTTAATAAGAGTGTTAAAAGATACATGAGTAAGAGACACTTAATACAGCAAAAGCTTTTTCAAGGACATAATTTGTCTAACATTGCAGTGTTTGCTTTCTGGCTACTAGATTGCTATGTTGACATGCCAAGAAAAGTTGTGAGTATACTGCAACAATGATTCTCCAGTGCTTCTAGATAAGATCTTTTGGTTGATAATTGTTTCTTCCTTCTTAAAGAATCCCCAAGTTCCAGGAAAACCTGCTCCAACAGTTTTCTCCTATGATTTCTCTGTTTCCTGATGATGGCTTATGGGAGATCTCTGTAGATTATAACTGTGCCGTTATCAAAATGTCGTCTGGATTTCTGTGCCTATTTCTTTTTCTCGGCATTTTGAAGAAACTATTTTATAGAGAAAAGAGAACCAGACTGGAGTTAAAATTGTCACACTGATGGTCCATAAAAATATTATTAACATTAAATTTATGCAACTGCCAATGTAGTCAGGTCATGATAATAAATCATCGAGAAAGGCATACTTCAGGAACACAACATTTGTTTATAGATTTGTAGCGGGTAATTCTTCCCTGCCTTTGAAAAAAGAAACCTAGTAATATAGTAAAGATGAATCAATATAAAATATGGGATAGTAGAGTTACTTAGACCATAGCAGAATAAGAAAACACCATGAGCAAATTTTACACATCAGCTGACAAGTTGCATGAAATTCAGGGAAGAATTTGGGATTTATTGCAAAATCTTAATAGATTGATTTAACTCTGGTAATGGGAAAAAAGTTTGATTGTAGATCAGATTCATCACTAAGTACCCTACTAAATCATCTATGGAGATTCACAGCCAGCCAGGTCGTGGTTAGGTGCTTTTTCAAAAGACAACAGAACTTTTTTTTTCATTTTCTGTTTCTCATCCAAGAAGCTTCTTCAGTTCAGAACTGAAGAAACTTCTTGAATGAGAAATAAAAGAAAGCCAAGTTGACTTTTGAAAAAGTAGCTTTTGGGATATTCTACCAAATCTGCTTGCTTGGAAATATTTGGGAAAATATTGTGCTGGAAATAAATGTGAGATTAGATATTACCCTAGGTGTTTTCATTGTTTTAAGATGTGTTTTGCACAATCTTGCATTATGTATCTTATTGCTGTGTAAAAAAATAGCTAAGAGATAAAAGTGATCACTCAATTGTACCGTCATCTGGAAAGCTGATTCCTGTGGGTGGAGCTGTGATCCACCTGTTTCCTTGGACCAAGTGATTAAAACTGAGCAAACAGGATACATTTGCCTCAGTGTGTTTAGCCAGTAGTTAAATTGGTACTTTAGTCAAACAGAATTTTCTTTTTGTGGATGCTCAAGAGGAGCCTACAAGTCTAGCTGTGCTGAAGTGAGAGCCTTGGAAGGGTAATACTAAATAAATATGTAAACTGCAGTATGTCCAGAAGACTTTGCTTGTTTGTTGGGAAGAAAAGATGCATTTGGAGCCCTGTGTGATTCTAACATCTTGTCACTTCTGCTCTGACTTAATTTCCTGCCTGTAAAAACTCATACCACAGATTTATCCTTACAAGAAATATATTCTTTATACATGGTCAGCTAAATTGTTCTCTACCCAATGACATACAACTTTATTCTCCAGCGAGAATTCCATCATTTACCAAAAGAACTGGGCAAAACGGAGAAGATGATTAGAGCACATTTTGGTGCTCTGGTGTATGGCGCTTAGAATAAATTTTAGCCACCTGAAATTCAGAACCCACTTTAAAACCCAAACATGAAACAAAAATAGCATTTTTACATGCATATATGCTCTCCCTATCCTTGTTTCTGCCATTGCAGTCAGACGATGGAAAACATAAATGGTGGATGTCTTTTTCTTTGTCTGCTGAATCTTGTTTCATATGCATTGTAGCATAACCTTTCTGAATAATACCACTGTTTACTTTATGCATTTTAAAACAAATTTATTGACAACTTCCATCCTAGGAGATTCTTGATCCTATGCAAAATATAAAAATCTGGTATTATATAATGCTAATATTATGAACTTCATTAAAAAAAAAAATTGTAAAGGGATGGTCTGGTGGAATCAGTGGAACTGTGTTGATCTTCCTGCCCAATAAGCATTTTACTTTATATGTATAAGCATATAAATATAGGATGGCAGGTATACAGTGGTTTGGTAAAAATATAATTTATTGGATTTCAGTTCCTTGTTAAGGAGCAGAGGGGAATCTATTTACATTAGACTGCCAATCAGGATTTTTAAGACATGATAAATCTGCTGTAGTAAAAATGTCTACCAGGGAAACATCTAAATTCTTAAAATGAGGCCAGTGCAATAAATGAATACATTACAGCTCAACTGGATTTCTTTTCTCATTAAATTTTAAATATTTTCCTTAGACAGAGAATGATCAAAGTACACTAAAAGATGTTCCTTGTTATTAAACTAGTCTAAATTAGATTCAGTCTCAATAACTTTTATGTAGACATGTAACATCTTTCTTCCCCCAAACTCCCATTGGATCCCTTTTATTTCTAAGTACTTAATAAGAAATATAGCCCAGAACTACATGAACTGTCATTGGAAATGGGATACAATAAATATATATTAATTCTCTTAACAACCAACTTTAAATGTATGTTACTTTTGTGTATAGTCTTGCCCTTCCTTTTTGATTCCTGACAGTTATACTCAGCTACAGCCCAGCCAGTGTGAGCGTTGCTGTCTTAACACGTCAGGATTGCTGTAGTCTGGGAACTGGGAAAGTTTACTGTAATAGCCTTAGGAAACAACAGTAATACCCTAATGGTCAGTTTTAAACCATATAAACAGATTTTGTGTATGTTGTACTGTATGTCTACAACAGAGGTGGGTTCCTACCAGTTCGCACCTATTCGGTAGAACCGGTTTGTCAAATCTACGGAACCGGTTAGAAGAGGTTCCACCAGTGGACACGGAAAGCAGGCCACACCTACAGAAGAGGTTCCCAAATTTTTTTGAAACCCACCACTGGTCCTTGGATATGATTATTCTACACNTTCAACTCCCAGAATTCCCCAGCCAGCGAATGCTGGCTGGGGAATTCTGGGAGTTGAAGTCCGGACATCTTCAAGTTGCCAAGGTTGAGAAACACTGCCATAGAATCTATGTTGTTCATCTACACAGTTGTTTGTTTATTTTTTTACTTTCTTCTACTAATCTTCAATGTTTTCCTTTATTGTTTCCTGGTCAGTGATATTGATTTTCACTGGCAATGTGCATGACAGCACACAAATCGCTGTAAATATGTAAGACAGTACATTAGTTAGTCTTCTATGTGCTACACGGTTCTTTAGTTCTGCTTGTCTGAAGTGGCATAGGGTCTCTTGCTCGAGCAAGAAGGTTGGAAGATCTCCAAGGTATTATTCTATGTTCAATTAAGAATCAATGGCTTTGACAAAATGGTGAAATGAGTGTCATGAATGCAGGTTCTATCCGTACACACGTATGTGCAATATAACAATACATAAATGAAGCAGGAGTTTTCCTCACAGTGCTTAATTCATCTTTTGTGCCCCAGCAGATGCTCACGATTCCACTCTCTCTACTTCTGTTCCTGAACATTGTTGTTAATCACCCTCATCTGTCTCTCTATCTGATTTACAATCCTCTATTTCAGAAAAAAATAGTTATATTATTTTTTAGATGGCACAATAAAATGCTTTGCTTTATTATCAAACCACTAGCTCACCCATCTTTTATGAGTCTGCTCCACTGGCTACCTTTAGGCACCTCTTAAATGACAATTGTTTCAAATGTGTACTTTGGGGTAATCTGATCTACGCTTTGATACCTGAATTCTAAGGCACCTTGAGAGCTAAATGCATCTAAAGCTTTTTACAGCTTTGTAGACACACCTGCTTTAAATATTCCTCTGATCAGTCATGCAGCCCTCTTCCTACTTAGCAGGTGGCCTAGTAAAGCAATTCCAGTAGAGATAGGAAGAGTTTTTCTGTTCACACAGAGCTGTTGATTGAGTAGATGAGAATGAGGCATTGTGTTGATGTGGGACCAATAAATAAATAAAAACAATCTTCTCCAGTATGTTTGCTAACCCTTTTTTGGCTAAAGGCTAAGGAGTATTCAAGCATTCATTCTGAACACATATTTGCAGAACCAAATATTGGGTGTGAATGATGATAATTTTATACAGTTTTTCCTAGCCAGATCTTCCCCACCCTTCCCACAATGTATGGGAATACATTACCCATCAACTCAGCAAGCATATCTGCTTTAATTCATACCACACAGCATTTTAATGCTCCTTTCAAAAATAATAATAAAAGGAATTAAATAGGAGCCCAATCTTTGATTTAGAGTAAGAATGGTACATAAGCCGCATCTCCTTATTTCCTAACAAAATATCCCATCACACAAATAATTGACAAGGGTTTTCTCTACATTAACAAATGAACACTTAGCTTGCTATGAAGTATAAAAATAGCTGAAATGGAGACATGATCTTTCCCTGTTAATACATGTCTCCATTTTCTTTTCTTTTTTTTCATTGAATTTCCTGGTAGATAATCATAAATTATGGTTGTATCCACATGACAAATTACCTAGCGATCCCCTTACTCAGCCAGTTCACCCATTTCTGCTCACCGATAACAAATAAGCTTTGTTTGGTTGTTTGTTTTCTTATTGGCACAAAGCAGGCCGGAAGATTTTGCCTATGGTTCCCATTTCCCCTATTATTTTCTGGAGCAGAGGGGAAAGATAGTGATGGCACTGTTTTCAGCTCCCCCTTCCTTTTTATTTGATGGGGAAGAAAACNCGCATGCGTGCGGGGGGTGGGGGGGTGGGCACACACGCATTCTGGGGTTGCACGCATAGCATGCGTTCCTCCCGCTTTTGGCACTCGATCCAAAAAACAAAGGTTAGCCATCACTGCTATATATGGTTTCCTTATATCTTGGAATTTCAAGGGCTACCGAAACATGGAATGGGACAACTGGACACAGCCAACTCATCAAATAGCCAAATTGCCGTGGGACAGCTTAACAATTCAATTATTTAAAATAATTAAGAAATGACTTTAATTTTTGTCATTCGTATTTCATTTTGTCCCTCCTTTGCCTTCTTTCTTTAATGATTCTATTCCACCATTTATTTGATATTAGTGTTACTCTTGTCCCATGGTGAATTGGCCACAGTGAGTTGGCCGTGGGGGAGGTTGGCTACAGCAAGTTGGCCACGGCAAGTTGGCTGTGGTGAGTTGACAAGTTGTCCTAGACCCACCAAAATGGGGATCAAACCATAACTAGCTGTAGTGTCTCGGGCTGCCTTTCACTGGTTTACAACAGAGAGAATTTAGAAATACACTAGAAACATTGACTCTATTAAATCCTTCCTTCAACTGATATAACCACATACAAAGTGATAGTTAAGAGCATGTACTTCTGCTCCCTGCCTCTTGTTACAAGCAAGCAGCTCCATAAATGGAACCAGCTACAAGTTTTCAGTTTTACAAATAGCTATTCTATAAATGGGTATGTAGGGAAGTGGGGGGAATCCACCTAAGTGCATTTTTATCACCCAGGTCTTTAACAGTAACTCACATGCATTATATTTCAATGGACATTAAAGACTTCAGGAAGTGCTGGATGTGCAGGAAAGAGATGACTGAATCACTTTTGCAGGAATGGCCGAAGGCTTCTCCTTCCATCTAAATTCCACAACGTGACTACATTTTATGTGGTGAGTGAACAGATGTAATTTCTTTGGCTGGATATTCTTCTGCTGACACCACCAGTCTCCTAATCTGCCACGAGTTGAATTTAACCCCAAGATAAGCCTAAACCCTAATTGCTTTGTTTGATCTCCCATCATTTAAACTCTAATGGTCTAACTAAACTGGATCATGGAAAAAGTAATGGACAGTACAGAGGCAGCTTTGAAATATATTTCTTATTCCCACTCTAAGACATGATGAACAAACCTTTACATATGATAAATTAATTTTTTTAATAAGGTATTCATGTTTTACTTTCTTGGGGAAAGAGCTCCCACTGGGGTTTGGTTTGGAACAGAAGAAATATCCATTTCCTGCCTTAATCCAAACATTTATATTGTATCAGTTAATAGGGTATACAAAAGGTAAATCAATTATCTGATTTGCTTGGGTAGGGCTACTGAAACATTGATGGCATATCATGTTTTGTGATCTCACAGTGATTTTAGGCACATAGGAGCAGTTCTCAGCTTTCTTCATCATGGACAACACTGGCTGGAGCTGCTGGGAACTGTAGTTCAGCAACTTCTGCAATACCCCAGATTACTTGCTACTTGAACCCATATCATGCAAGAAGCAGCTTGCATTACCAGATCTGGGTTTCAATAAGCTATACAACTGCTATAGGACACCCAGGAGCTAACGTTCCCTGAATCGTTTTGCTGCCATTTATGGACTCTTACCTCCAAGATCTAGAATCTCATTTCCCTCTAAGGCAGAAAAGTGATTCACTAATTCTGCCATGCAAATAGATAAGAAAAAACAAACAAACAAACCATGTAAAATCACATATGTACTCAGGAGGTACCATACCAGAGGTTTCTGCCATGCCATTTTCTCCCAGCCCTGTGAATTTAGCATTGGCTAAATTCAGTGCTTGTTTTTTATTTGCCTAGAAAAAGCAAACATTCCTTTAAAGATAACTTAAAACCACTTAAAACTACTCGGAGGTGGGTCTTACTGGTTCTAAAGAGCCTTTAGGAGAAGTGACAGGGATTACAACCCATGTAATATTTTTTTAAAAAAAATTATTTATTACAGCTAGAGTATCAAAGGCTGTGTAGTTGCCTACATATAACAAAAGAAGTTTCCAGATGCAAAGTGTTTGACCACATGTTTTATTCATCTGTAAATGGGATGCTTCCTTGAGAAAAAGAACTTAGCATTCTTTTGATCCTTGCTCTAGTATGTCCTAATTCTATCCTTCTGGACTGTTTGCATTTATATGCTGTCACAGAATGCAGTCCTGCTCCTCTGCACTTTCCATTATTTAAGCTGCAGGACCCCAACTGGGTTCGTGAGTTTAGCCCTTAGACATTGCTGGAATGCAATCTAAAATTTAAAGTGCTCCCAGGTCCTCATGGCAACAGCTTGCCAGTGACCTCTCTGAACAAAATGCCTCGTGAGCACAGCTGTCACGGGCCACAAAGAGTTGACACCTAAATTAAATCTGTGTCTAAGTTCTGGGGACTTAGATTAGATATTAAATTTAACTACCACTTAGTTAAATTCATAGCGCTATCCAGATCTATAGTTTCAGTCCTACAGACATTGTCATAAAATTGAAACTTTGAGTAGATGAGCATCAGCAAATTTCAGCTTTTCTGGAACTAAAATCTGTAATGATCCAGATGTTCCTGAACTTCAAATTTCAGCATCCCTCACAATCAGCATAGTGAGTGGGAGTTGTAGTTTAGCAATATCTACCGAGCAAAGATTCCCAGTCTTTAAATAAAAAATGAATGTCACTTTGATTTTGACAATTTAGTATAAGGGAATTAATTAGATGAAGGATTTGCTGTAAGAGTATTTCCATTGACATAGTCCATGTGTTGAGGCACTTAGACACAATTAGGAAAAACAACTCTAGGAAGTGGATGAAAAGAAGCTCCATCAATATTGTTTTGCATGATTTGCTAAATAACACCTAAATGTGTTAAATTGCCATTCAATAATTAGTACAATATTGGTTTACTACTTGGCTTGTTAGCACCTGTGCATTCCAGGTTCCTCCATTAGTGATTTAAGATTTTAAATAAAGCTTTTCATCCCAAAATTTGTTTCCCAAACTGGGGGAACAATATATGACAAATACAGAAAACTCCAAATGAAATTCTCTGACCAACTAGGAAAAGAAATCTTCTTCTGCTTGCGATTTTTCATTTAGTATCTGTTTATAAACGTTATTCAATAAGGTTGACCTTTAAAACTGCAGAGATTGTCTGTACTACGGAGCTGGAAATATTGGCTGCTATATTTGTATGGCCTGAAGTTAAAGCACGAAACGATTCTGTCCTTTTCAATGATATTCTTCTCAAGCTAGCATTTCATCTGTACAGGTTTACATATGCATCCTGCTCTAAGCAGGCAAGAATCAAACATTTGGACATTTTTCCAATATCCATGTAAACCAATGCTATTATTAAAAAATCTTTAAATAACCGATATGTGAGAAATGTGTATTTCTGCATTAACAGGGGGATGAGATAGTTGCAATTTCATTGGAAGAGGAAATATTGGCCTTTGGTGAGCAGAAAGCTTCAACAAGACAGCAGGGTTTCGAATGAGTCTCTTTCTCTGTACAGCTTCAGAGAGTGAAATAATTGACAGAGAGCCCAGTGCTACTCAATCATTTGGAACCATGCCCAGGGCTTCACATAAAACAAGTACTTTTATTGTTCTGTTCCTCCCTTTAGTTTATTCCCATCCCCACCCTACCCCCAGTATTCCCCCTCTTCCTTACTCTATTTTCAGAGAAAATAAAAACACAATGGGAGCAGCCCAAAGGAAATTGTTTGTGGTTTGGGGGGTCAATCAAATCTCTCCTCCCCCCCAACTCTGTACACACAAAGTTTGGAAAACAGAAATGTAATTTGCAAAGAAGAATATTCTGGGGACCCAGCCGGCCACCCAGCCCTTCTGAGTTGCAACATGAGAGGAGCAGCCTTTGATGGCTGCACCCTTATGGCACCTGGTTTCATTACCAAATCGGTGTTGATTGTTCCTTGTCTAAATTTAACCCCATCCCTGGGAAATACCTCAAGGGAAGGGCACTCTGGAATGAAGGGGCATGCATCTCCTGTGGGAACAGTGATGTCTGTGTAGTTTTCGTCTGTTGGCCAAGTTTGCTGGAAGACAGGAAAGAAAATATGGAGATGTCAGTATTATGATATTAGGATTCGTACAATATAGATGCAACTGTGACTTTCAGCTTGCTATCAGAAGTGTTTTAGAAGGAACATAGAAAATACTACTTCAGCAACAGAGTGGTCAATGTCTGGAATGCTCTACCCAACTCCATTGTTACAGCCTCAAACCCTCACAGCTTCAACCTTAAACTGTCTACTGTGGACCTCACCCCATTCTTAAGAGGTCCATAAAAGGGGCGTACATAAGCGCATCAGCATGGCTACTGTCCCTGTTTTACAGCGTGACCTGACAAATGCGCGAACGACAAAAGCGCGCTGACAAAACCACGGCGATAAAACCGCGATGTCATCAGCGCGCCGACAACAGCCGCCGACAGAAGCGCGATTTAAGTTAAGGTAAGGGTTAGGGTTAGGGTTAGGTTTAGGTTTAGGGTTAGGGTTAGGTTTAGGT